TCTCGATTTTTGGCCCATCGAGGACCATAGGGGTGTTTATCACAGGAACAAATGCAAGTTTGGCCGAATACGGCTGAAAACGGTTGGAAACGACCAACCCGAGGTGGATCGCCGCCGTGGGCGGCGGCGCCGTGGGCGGCGGCGCCGTGGGCGGCGGCGCCGTCGCCGGAATTCCAAAATTGGCCGAAAAGACCCTGGGTCTGATTTGGGATTTTTTTGGGGACATGTGCAGGTGCCAAAAGTGTGTTTCAGTTTCCAGAGAAAAATTCAGGAAATCTAGAGACTGCCCGTAGGCGCAGTGAGAACCCGATTTCAGACTCCGAAATAAGTAAAGATCCCTCACCCTATTTTCTATCACGGCATTAAAGCTTAATAAATGATAATACGGTAATTTATGAATTAATAGATATGTATAATTAATTAAGACTGCTAATGGAGCCCGAATCTGATGTATTTTTCGGTCAGGTGTTGTTTGATTTATTTTACAGTTTTGAATGCAGTATGGTGCCTGATGTGTTTATTCTATGATTTCGTATGCATCAATCGCGGTTTCATTTATTATGATTTGAACTCGATGTTGTGTTACCTTGTTTGGTGTCCATTATTGGTTTACGTATTTATGTTTGATTGGATTATTGAGATTAAGAAAAAAATAAAAAAAGGTATGTGAATTGATAAATGGATAATGTCGATAGCCTGACTAGATATCCTGGGAGATGATGGACGGACCGGGTCTATAGGGAACCCTACCGGGAATGTGGTCTCTCATATCGGACGGGGTATGAAGACTTTATGTATTTTTGCGCCCATACCGGACGAGGTATTTAGGTTTATGGTTTTGGCGCCCATACTGGACGGGGTATGAGGACGGCCCTAGAATTAAGTTATTAATGTGAATGGTTCACATGTAGCGGGGACCCCCTATGGATCCCCATGGATACTAATAGGCTGATAAAAGAGGAAATTTGTTGCCTGATAATTGAAATACAAAAGTATGATATGTGTTATATTACAGAGTGTGCATGATCTTATGATGTTTATGATGTTATGGTTTCTCATAAGTTGTTTTCATGAATCTCACCGAGGTAAGTGAACAGTAAAGGTTTTTATTATTGATAAATGAGTTTGTTATAAATTATGCTCCATTGGTCGTTTTTGTTTTCTACCAACCTTTACTTCTGTAACAGTGAGATAGTATGATGTCTTTATTAGGCTAGTGTAGCTCATTCCTTACTTAACCATTTCAGATCAGGAGGATTTGGTTCCCGAGCCCGTTTTACAAGAAGACGGCGAGTAGAGGCCTAAGAATTTATTAGTTTTTCTTATAGTATTCATTCATAGTATTTTCCTTAGTTAGTTTATTTTTTCATACGTTTAATTCGTTTTGGTTATTGTGTAAGGGATGTTAATCATAATCTATTTTATTTGGCTTCTGCACTTAGAATAAATTTATACATTTCCTTTTAATTTCCGGGGCTGTTACAGTTGGCATCACAGCCAGGTTTCTCGGACCCGTCCCTTACACAATA